TGATGGTAAGGTCCAAGTCTGCAGGAGATACTGCAAACTTAATTTGATGTTGCTGGATAAAGAACAGATTTCAAGTTGTATCAAAATACTAGCCAGTTTTTTTGCTTCTTTGTTCCAGCAGCCTTTGGGGTAATCTAGAAATCTGTTCTTCCCACTACAATGCCATATAATCTACTAACAGCGCAGTCCTGAGCAAAGTTTGTATGTCATGTTAAACTTCAATAAACATCTGGCTTTTCCACCATACTGTAAAATATTCTCCCCTTTGTCTGTTGGACTAAATATCCAGCCTGATGCAGAGCCCTGAGGAACTCAAAAGCTTGCTCACAACTTGGTTGTATTTTTGTTTCACCCCAATGAAAGATATTACAGTTCTACTATTGTAGTTCTGCTCTACATCATTTAATGAACGGCACCAGTTCAGCCCATCCCCAATATGAATGGTGCAGGCTGCCCCTTGATTTCTGGTGAGCAACAGAACTGTAGCTTTGAATTCTTGAACAATGACAGGTTCTGGTCCGCACTTGGAGACTTCCATGCCCAGATTCTTTGGATAAAGGCATTAACTGCTTCTGGGAAGATTCAGGTGGGTAGCTGTGTTGGTCTGAAGCAGCACAACAAAGTTTGAGTCCAGTGGCACCTTTAAGACTAACAAAGTTTTATTCAAAGTTGATCTTAAAGGTGCCACTGGACACCAGTGTTCCCTCTAAGCCGAGTTAGTGTGAGCTAGCTCACTGTTTTTTTAGCCTCTGGCTCACACATTTTTGTTTTAGCTCAGGAAGGATGGCTCCAGAGCAAACTAATTTATGCAGTAGCCAACTTTAATGCCAGTAGCTCACAAAGTAGAATTTTTGCTCACAAGACTCCACAACTTAGAGGAAGCATTGCTGGACACAAACTTTGTTCTGCTTCTGGGAAAAAGTATTGTTTATTTAGACAAATGAAATTTTATTGTTAATTAAATGTAATTGCGGTTCTTTGGCCTGATACTGGAAGCATTCTAGAAACCAGTAGGAGATTTCCTACTATTTTTATCTGATAAAAATGATTCTTCTGCCTATTTTCCTAAAAAAGAAACTAGAATACTAGAGAAAAGTGGTATTCAATAATGCTCCCACAAGGAGTAAAAATGAAGTAATCTGCATATAATTCAGCTTTGCATTAGATTAAAATTATTACAAAACAGAAAACTGCATTAGCAGAGTTACTGCCTGACTGACAGTCTTACATTTTAAAGGATTTACTTTATACCTCTGTGATTTCATAACTTAGATAGAACCAGGGCTCTAGTCGGAGGGGTCTGCTCAGGTACGGAGCTCCGGAAGAGAACCTCTAGGGGGCGGGGCGGTCACGTGGTGAAGCCCCGCCCCTTCTTTACCCCGCCCTCTGCTTCGATCCTCATTCCGTTTGGGAATGAGGATGAAGCAGGAGGGTAAGTAGCCGGGCCTTCTGACACACTTCCGGTGATGTCAGGGGGTGTGGCCTTCTGTCACTTCCGGTGATGTCAGGGGGCGTGGCATATGCAAATAAGTTATGCTAATGAGTTATGCTAATGAGCTCCGGCAGCTCTTTTTCTACAACAAGACCCCTGGATAGAACTAGACTGGAGCCTGGAGGGGTCTGGAGTTTTCCTGGAATTACAATTTATCTTCAGACTACAGAGGTCAGTTCACCTGAAGGAAATTACAGCTTCAGAGGACAGACTCCATACTATGGATTTTGGATGAAATACTACCCCAAATTCTTCCCTCAACAGGCACCACCCAAAATCCCCAGCAGGGCCGGCTCACTCACTAGGCGAACTAGGCGGTCACCTACAGCGGGACGGCCCTTAGGGGCACCAAACTGCATCCGGCCCCGTACTCTGGGAGTTTCTTGATTATTTGTGTTTTTCATTCTTCCTAAAATGCATTTATTTTTGAAAATTGGTGGGCGCACGTGGGGGGGTGGGCAGAAGGGATCCTCGCCTAGGGTGCAAAATAAGCTGGAGCTGGCCCTGATCCCCAGGCATTTCCCAGGAGTTGGCAACCCTAGAGACACTCACAGGATTTAAATTTATGTTTAAAACTTGTTTGCAAAATATTATTTGAACTTAATTCATCAGTACTGATATTTTTCCTGTACTAATAAGATTTCAATAAAATTCTAATTAAAGAAAAAGTTTTTAAAAATTATATCAGCATTTGATTTCCAACAAAATGGAACTAAAGATAGCCTTATTGATATACTATTTATTTACAAAATTATACCTGCAAAGTTTTGTTGTTGTTCAGTCACACAGTCGAGTCTGACTCTTCACGACCCCATGGACCAGATCACGCCAGGCCTTCCTGTCTTCTGCCTACAATATTACTTTACAGTCACAAAATTCAAGGAAATGTAAACTAAGGCAGACTATCAAATCAACCAGCATATCAAATCAAAAGAATAAAGTGGCTGAGCAAATACTAACCAAAAGTCAATGCTAGCAGGAAGAACTCACATATAAACATTAATGCAGTATCTCAGCTACCAAACAAAAGCCTGTTTTGAAGGAACCCTCTTTGCCTGCCTGCTGAAACTTCAAAAACAAATTCTAAAGTCTGGGTGCCACCACAGAGGTGGCCTGTCAGATCCCCAGTTCAGACACTCTCCACAACACTATTGGCAGTTATGCTTTATTAGAGATATGCTTACTACAGGAACTGGTTCTTTGTCAGGACTAAAGAAAGTGCGCAAAATTCAGAAGTTATAGGTAAGATTCAATGCACCCCCACACCCCATGCATATGTCAGCAATCAGCCCCTACTGTTACTATGATAACCCTGACAGATATACGGTGTCTTATCTATTCTAGCCTGGCAAAAGAGTCTCCAAGGCCTAATACCATGAGAACAGGCCGAGGGGTGCAACTGGAGAAATGGGTATGGCTACTACATGCAAGTACTCAACCCACACACTCTCCCCACAGGAATTCCCTCCCCCCTAATACATGGCAAGGTAAGCAGTGAAGCAAAACGAAGAGAACTGAAACCGATTACCCATTGACCTACTGACGGCAGTAAAACACAGGGCAAGGCCTTGCCAGATTAGCTAAATGTAAAGTATGCTGGTGTTGGAAAAGGCAGGCCTTAAGGTATCCTGAACCCAAACTTTTAACAGTGTACACAGCTACATTTTTCCATATGTAACTCTGCTTAGGACTGCACTGTAAATGCCAAAGCCAGCGCTTCGAATCAGGCCTGGAAACAGAGTTGACAACTCTGGCTTGGGAAATTCCTGGAGAACTGGTGGCCGTGCATGAAGAGAATGGAGATTAGGGAAGGGAAGGAGCTCAGCAGGGATGTAATACCCCCCCTCAAAACTGCCATTTCGTCCAGGAGAACTGATCTCTGTATTACTCCAACGTGGAGATTGGCAAACGTAACAGGAAACAAACTGGAAGCTTGTAAAGTTGTATCAAAGTTGCAAACTGTTATTATGATCATCCACAACAGATGGACAGCTGTATTCTGGATTCAAAGGCGACCCCAGATAGTGTGTGTTAGTCTATAAGTCCTCAAGGCATGAGTAATTAAGCCAGACCAGATTTGTCCAAGAGAGGTTAAAGTCAAGAGCAGATAAAACACATTCCTGGCCAAAGGTGCTAACTTAGGCACCCAGGTAGAAACCAGTTATAGAAATACACCCAAACTGTGAACCTAGGATTTCCGAGAGGGTACAATATGGAACTGCTCCATCTGAAGCCTTGGTGTATTCATTCCTGTATACCTTTGACTTTACTTATTATTTGTATTAGCTTTCTTACCAATCCCATCCCAGATATATAGGGATAGAACATAAAAACACCACATAGAGCCCACAAAATAATAAAAAATATATCACACTGTACACTAAAACAATTAAAACAACTTCTACTCTGCCCTGGCCCATTAAGAACCAGGCCTAGCAGAAATGTCTTCCAACATTTCTGGAAAATGTTTTGGCTTGGACTTTGATTGTCAAGGGGAAAAGAAGTTACACAATTTTAGGACAGCCACCAGAAACATTGTTCAGTGTACTTTTGCTGTTCAAATCAGGCAAGCAGACAATATGGGAACTTCATGACCGCTCTGAGCACACAATTATATTTCTTATCTTAGTTTTTTTGCCAGGAAAGCCAATGTCTTAGCAGTTATTGGAAAATACTGCAGCTCTTTCAGCTCAAGCTGAAACAGACTGGAGTGGACATCCTTTGAGGCTGGTGGTGGTGAAGAATTTGTTACAATCAAAAGGTTGTTTTGTCCTTTGCTAGATATAATCAAGAGTTGTCTCAGTGTGTTACATCCCGCACAACGGACACAAAAAGATGTCCTTACAGT